AAAGAGGCCGTTCATGCTCAAAAATCCTCCAGTTCCTCCAAAGTGATGTGAAAGACTCATATTATTAGTTATCAAAAACATTTGATTGCAGTTCTTGCTGCCAAAGGTGGCACAACCAGTTATTAGTTTTAGTGGGCAATTACCTTTTAAAAAGAGGATCATGTAGGTCTGGATAGCTTTTAATACACTAAAAAAAACTACTTCTTAAAAGCACTTAACCAATAAATAAATATTCAAAACTGCAATTTTGTATTTACTCTGGTTATCTTTGTTTAATATTAGAATTTCTTTGATGATCTGACACTTGCAAATGTGAGAAATATGCAAAAGAAATCAGGAAGGAGCATATATTCATATATATATAAGTACATCGATTGCTGCTTCCACTCTTCATAGCCTGCATGCAGCTCTCCATGAATTCATTCCCAAAGAAAGATGAAGTCTTTAAGTGGTGTTTGGTAAAGAAGATTTTAGGAAATACTTTTAGAACATCTGAGGATGAAGCCACTTTCAAGTATGGATTTGACTGCTGCATTAGTCCCTGTATAGCAAAAGCAAGGAGCTAAACCAAGCTCAGTCACCATATTAAGCGGAGTCATGTGTTAGGTAGTGTAACAGTGTGGAGAGGAATGTTACATGTTAAGTTTTGGATATAAAGACATGTATAGATTATCGGGTTGTTAACATTGATCTTCATGTTTTACAAAAATCATGTAAACTCAACAGAAATATATTAATTGTTTTTGTGTGTCTTCTCTCGCTCTGTACTGCAGTTTCCCAATCTGGTGTATGGAGCTGTGGCCTCCTCTGCTCCAGTCAAGGCAAAGCTGGACTTTTCTGAGTATAACAACGTAATACGACACAAACCATGGTCACAGGATTTAATATCACCATTCATTTAATTATTATTGATTTCTTTGTGTTTTCATCGCTGACTCTTATGGGCTGAATGTGTTTTTCACCATCAAAGAAGTAACTGTGATCAAGTCCAGTTTTTCCCTTCTGATGTCAGTACACCACAAAGGTTCCTCCATAACCAGAACTTGACCTTAGGTTCCTCTGTTGTACCTACATCCCTCCAAACAACTAAGGTGTCTACTGAAGTTCATTTCCTTTTGAATCACATATCTGCCCTTTCCTCTATTTCAGGTTGTTGGCTTGAGCCTGTTGAATGAGGCAGTTGGTGGCTCAGAGAAGGTGAGAAGTCTGCCACCATCTGTGCATCATGTGTCAGGGATTAGATTTTAGTCTGTTACTTTTGTCTGTTAACTTCACACCATCCACTTCCTGCAGTGTCTGTCTAAAGTGCGTGAAGCGTTTGCTGCAGTGAAAGAAGCTCTGATGAGTGGAAATATCAACCAGGTAGCCTCAGACTTTGGATGCTGTCAAATCCCCAAGGATCCTTATGATCAGGTGATGACATGCTTTGATGGACACCAAGCTCTTGTTCACGCAGTTCTGTTCATTTTTTGCTTTTTAAAAAAATTAAATATATACTTTTTTGTGATAACTTTCTTTTCCCACTGTATGCTGGTAATAAGCTGTTTGAACCTTTGCAATCATGTGAAAAAGAAAGCGCAGCTTTATTTTAAACCTGTCTACAGTCTTTCTGTGATAAACATAGGACAACTGTCAGGTATACTATTGCATTTTATTGCAAAGTTCAACTTGATGGTAAAATGCCAAAGCTGTAGTTGCGAGACCTTCACTGCAAAACATAATATGGTACTTGTCCAGAGTGTTGCTCTCTTGCTAAATATATTTAAACAAATATGGAGGTTAATTCAAAATTATTCATTTGCCTATCATGGCTGCCGGGGCGAGCCATGTGGTGAAGGAGGAAACGGACCCAAAATGCAGGCAGTGGACTGGTGATGAGAGAGACAGGTGGGCAACACACCTGGGAGAAATCGGAGCTGACGGGACAGGGGAAACGTAAATTGAACACACTCACATGAGACGGGGACCTTCAGAATAAAACAGGAAACTCAGACACAGAGAACCAGACATGACACTGAACTAAACAGACAGATTCACAAGCAGACAGTGTGACCAGGGCAGGCACAGAACAGAAACCTAACAAATCATAACAGAATACATACTCAGAATAAACAAAAGCATAAAGAAACACAAAACACTGAGTCAGCAGACTCAGGACCATGACATTGCCTGCCTAATAAAGAGCTATGGGTCACTGAGTCCAGACTTTACTGAAGAGGGTGCTCAAAATGGGAGTCATGACATGAGGTTCAAAAATGGAACTTAAAGCGTGTACTGTCAACAGTTCTTCTTGTGGACCGCCGTGTTAGCCATTAGGTGTTCTGTATGTACTAGCATGATCCTTTCTGAGGCCAGAAAACAGAAATGAAAAACAACAGCAACAACAAAAGCTAACCCCAAAAAGCAGAAGCAGTGTGTAGAGCACACGCCATGATTTATTAGCTTGTAGAACCACTTTTAGCAGCAGTAACTTGAAGTGTCTGTTTTCTGTATGTCTTTTTCAAGCTCTCACATTGTTCTGGTGGAAGTGTGGCCCACTCTTCTTTGCAATGTTGATTCAGTTGTTTGAAGTTTGCAGGCATTTATTTATGCACAGCCCGCTTAAGGTCCCACCATAGCATTTCAATTGGACCAGTGGTCCATTCCAGCACTTTGATTATTTGCTTTTTCAACTATTCTGCTGTAGATTTGCTGCTGTGCTTGGGATCACTTTCATATTTCATAACCCATTTTCAACCAAACGTTATCTGATCTGTCACACAGATAAAGAGAAAGTAGCTTTCTGAGGAAGCAGCCCTTCCAAATAATGTCCTGATAATACCCTGATGTGTAAAACCTGAACTGAAAGAGGATGCAAGCCTCCTTTACTTTTCACATTCAATATAATGTGGCCACTAAACTGCTGGCCATAGCAGTTCATGGCTTCTCCAGATCCCTGGGAAAGCTCTCTTTTTAGACCTAGCCCTGCTTTCACAGTCCAGGTCAAATGAAAGAGTTTTTTAAGTAGTAGTATACATAAAGTGGGCTTAATTATTTGCCTACTTGCATTGACTGCGTGTGGGCTGTCAAAGTGTTTAGGCTGGTTAACAAACACTGTACACAGATTCAACTTTTCATGTTAATCTCTTGTTACCATTTATTCATTACTTTTAACTTTCCATTAATATCATTCACTTTTTAGTATTTATCATCTAAAGTTAACAAGTTATTTCTGTATGTTCATTAGTTTAAGCATTAAATTTGCTCACTAAATCTATTTTGCTCTCTTATTTGAACACTGGGCTTCAAATATTAGTGTACTTTTCCACTTCTTTAAGTTACTTGAAGACGTTTCACCTCTCATCCAAGAAGCTTCTTCAGTTCTAAGGTCAAATGGTGGAGAGTCCCAGATATAAACCTAGTGGGAGTATCCCCCCACAGAGGGACAAAAGGACCCCCTGATGATCCTCTACTCGCCTGAGCCAAGGTGTGAAACTGGGTGTGGGTCCCAATCAGCCAGAGTTTCGGATGAGTTCATTGTGAAACCTGGCCCCACCTTATCATGTGAATTCCTAAGATCAGATGGCCCAGGATGTGAGTGGGCGTTAAGGCGTCTGGGAAGGGAACTCAAAACTGGATTATAGATGGCAGAGAGTTGGTGTCGTAAATCGTCCTCAAGCAATTTAAAGAAGTCCAGAAGCTTTTCTTTACAAGCTCCTTTGACTACGATGACCTGGATGACTGAGAACCTTCACAGACATACTTTTCAAATTATTTCCACGTAGTCTCCTAGTTGGCAATCGATATTTTTCCTCATTTAATCCTGTTTTCTTTCTCTTTAACTATTTCCTTTATTTTAATCCTGTTTTCTTTCTCTTTAACTATTTCCTTTATTTGTATCTATCTCTTTCCAGTTTTTATGCAAGTGGACAATAACATATTCCTTTACTTTAGATTGAGCTGATGGAAAGCTTGGCCGACATTTTCATGGGAGCAGTGCAGTACAATGAAGAGGGGGTACTCATGTCGATAAATGAGCTCTGTGGCATAATGACCAACAACAGCCAGGAATATCAGGATGGGATGGAAGCCTACAACCGCCTTGTTAAACTCTCACAGGTATGGAGAACAGAGCGGGCTCCTTCTCCCCCTTTACATGTTGATATGTGGCCACCAGATGTCACTGCTGAGCCATTTTCCTGTATGTCTGCTGTCCCTCTCAGAGCTAAAAACAAGCAGTGCAAGCATTTGTGATTCCTTTATGCCTTTACCCTTATGCAACTCCCACAACATCTGTCTACTAGTTTTGTTTCTTTTCTTTTTTGTCTCTTTGCATGTGTTTCTGCACTTGACAGATTTACCGATTCACCAGTAAGGAGCCGTGTTTGGACATCTCCTATGAGAAATCAATGAAGGATCTGATGGACACGTCAGTCCATGCCGGCAGAAGAGGAGAGAGACAGTGGACCTACCAGACATGCACTGAATTTGGCTTCTGTACAACACAAACACACACAGACACTTGTTTTCATATATTAGCGTAATTAACATAATTAACATAATGCTTTCCCTAGCTGCGTACTCTAACCATCAGAAAATGAATGCCTAACCCTTAGCCTAAACCTAACCATAACCTAATTGTAACCCTGACACTAAAACAGCATTTTGAGCCTGGAAAATGCCTTCAATCTTGTGGAGATAGGCATCTTGTCCCCATAAGTGACTGTTGTCCCCCACAAGTATAGTGGCATGCCAATTTTCTGTCCTCACAAAGTCATGTAGACATGTACACACACACACACACACACACTAACACTTCTTTATCATACGTGATTTTTTTCTTTTCATGTTTGTAGACCAGAGTTGTGAGGACGCCACTTGTCCTTTCTCTGGGATGTTGACCCTGCAGGATCAGACTAAGCTCTGTACCACGCTGTTTGGTATTTCCCAGCATTCCCTGCCTGCTCGCATCGCCTTCACAAACACTTACTACGGAGGAGACAACCCCCACACACACAGAATCCTTTATGTTAATGGTGAGAGTGGGTTTACTACAGACAAAGTCAACACATTTACAGAGAAAATACAAAAGTAAGGCGAGACAGAGAATACCGCCTTTTCTTACATATTTAGATAACCAGCAGGGCTGCAGCACTTTCTTGACTGTTGAAGACTTTTTTTTATCACTTCCACAGGAGGAATCGACCCGTGGAAGACGCTGTCGGTGGTGCAGGACGGGACTGAGGAAGGAGAGGAGGCCCAGACAATTTTCATTAAGGACACTGCTCACTGCGCTGACATGTCGAGTAGAAGAGTCACAGACCGCAGCTCGCTCACGAAAGCCAGACAGGTACCCACGCCTCACTGAGAAGTTTTCAATCTGAAAAGCATTTTTCAGAGCAGCTTCACACACCAGTCAGTGCTGTAATCCTTTAAAGCATATTTTCCTCTCTTTCCATGTCTGTCTTAAAACAGCACAGAGGCGCGCTTGAAGAGTAAACAGATCCTATCCTGACGTTATTTCAGCCTAAGAAACAGAGGACAAAATCCACAATGCCCACATTTTAAAGTAAAATTCAAATCAGTGCATTTTACCTGAAGTTTTAGCTATTTTTGAACTTAAATTAAACTTCCAAACTTTAGAAGTAGAACATCTGATATGAGTTAACAACAAAGATGATGCACTCTCTAGTCAAATACATGCAACTGCACATTGCTGGTTAATTACATTGCAGCATTTACACCATATATTTCCAGAGCGTGCCTTGTCTCCTTTAAAGAGAAATGAGGTAATTCCAGCTTTAATAACTGTCAGAGTTGTAAAATACTGCCTCGTGATATAATAAACTATACTGTGAAAGTGTCAGTTAAATGCTGGAATGCATTTTTACACAGTATTGTGGATTTGTCCTGCATATATATAGATATATAATCTATAAATCTCAAATTAGTTGTGATTCATATATCATAGTGCACAAAACAACCACTTAAGTGCTGCTTGGTGGTGCACAATCACAAATCAAGTGCTTACTGCACTCTTGCAAATCACACATTGCAGGCTTCCCATATCAAAACCAGCCTTTTAAACCACATACTAACCCAGGAAGCACCTTTGCTTTGCGGTATAGTGTGGTAACAATCCTCAAGCAGTTGTAGCATTAGAAACATGAAAAACCTTAATGTATGTCTGCCTTTCTTTCTCATCTTTCCACCTCTCAGGAGATTGAAAAACACGTGGCTAACTGGCTAAAGACAGCTGCCCAGGAGAAGCTGGAGAAAGGAACGTCCTGATCAGATCACGTTATAACCCGATCATCCCTTATCACCCACGTCTGAAGCTGATAAGAAATAGTTAATAATCTGTCCTCCGCCTCCTCCTTCTCCTGCTCATCATCTTCCATTTCCTCCCTCCTGTTCTCTGCCCCTTTGCTGTCCATCTATAACAATCTCACAGCACAGAGGCCGATCTGTGTATTTATGTGTTGTGCTTTTCGAGATTTTCCTCTTATGTCTTTATTTTGGACTTTGTGCTGAACATTTCTGATGTTTAGGCTGATTGAGTTTTTAGAGGTTTGTGTTCTTAACAGCCATTTCTCACTGATTAATTTTTAAATGGTGCTAGTAAAATAAAATGTTTTTCGTTTTTTTTTTTAATCTGAGTTTTGTTTTTGAAGTATTCCTCAGTTGTCATAACCATTAAGTGTCACTAGGGTGTGATATTGCTACATGATGAAACCCATTTCTTGAGGCGCTGCTATCAAAGTCCTGAGTGGCTTATTTGTTGTTTTTGATGAAATACAGTAAGCATGCGAATCTCAAGCATTTGTCTCTGATGTTTTTCTTTCTTTTTGCTTACATTTGTTAAAATCAATGAACTTCAGCGGATGTGATGGAGACTGTTTGTGACAGAAAGGTGAGGAAATTGTCCCAAGGCCATCTGTTTCCTTGTTTGTGTGTGTGTGTGTGTGTGTGTGTGTGTGTGTGTGTGTGTGTGTGTGTGTGTGTGTGTGTGTGTGTGTGTGTGTGTGTGTGTGTGTGTGTGTGTGTGTTAGAGAGAGAGAGAGAGAGAGAGAGAGAGAGAGAGAGAATATCTCAGTAGGGGGGTCAAAAGTGGGAGGTCGTGACCCTGCTGACCCCGTGGGAGTGAAGATCATCAATCAGCTAGAGGCTGGACAGAGCAGCAGGAGGGGACAAGCGCACACACACACACACACAAACACAGGCATACCTAGATACTGTAACAAATGCTGGGCATATAGCACAATGAAAGTGCATTTAAATGGACTAAACAAGTAATTGAATCAGACATCAAGCATTTATTTTACATTCCAGTCCCCCCTCCTCCTTCTCAGCCACACACCCACACGGCACACTGTGGCATCTATAAAGGACCGCCAGAGGTTTGCTGTTGGTAAATGTGTCTGTGTTTTCTGTATATATATATAAATATATATATATATATATATATGTGTGTGTGTGTGTGTGTGTGTGTGTGTGTGTGTGTGTGTGTGTGTGTGTGTGTTTTCAGCCCAGCGCTTCTGTTTCATTCTGTTTTTAACAATCTACTTACTATAGTAAACAAACAAACACACACACACACATGCACGCACACTGCCACAAATTCCACTATCTGGATTATCAGCCAGCACTTGCAGGGCGACAGGGCATGCTTTTTCTATCTCCTCCTCCTCCCCCTCTTGCAGCCTGTCCTGTTGATCAATGAGGAAGTTCTTGGGCCTCAACTATTAATCAGAGCCTATCGGCTATCTGTCCGCCGGGCCAACCAATCAAAGCCCTACGACAGCTGGGCCATGAAAAATGTGGCCCAGTGGACTGAGGGGAGGCTGGAGAAGTTGGGGATGAGGGGGAGGGGTTGGTGGCAGTGGGGTCGCAGAGAAGAGGAGGGAGGTGAAGGAGCACTCTATCTGTTCCAAGTCAGATCAGGCTGCACGACTGCACTTAATGCACTTACAGTTGATTCTGTACATGCTGATGGCTGCCACACACACACACCTACACGAACATGATGAAGCACATAGCTTTCATGACACACAGAATGATTCATTTCAATCAACACACATTTTCTTCCTGATTTACATTTACTTCAGACAGAGACATTCTGCAGCCATACAGCACCCACTGTGTTACCACTTCTTGTTTTCATCTGGTGGCAGCCAGCGTGATAAAATCTGTCAAAAAGTACGACAAACACAGCGTTTTTATGGAGCCTTTGCAGCAGAAAGCTCCTCAGTGAGGCCTGTCTGTTGATCTGTTGTTTAATAACAAGGCCTCGAAGCTTCATCAACGCACTGCCATCCCTCTTCTGCATAATCACCATGCTCACACTCATCCATTCACATCTTATTGCCATGATTAGATTACATCTAATGCTATTACATCACTCCCATCTCTCTCCCTCCTCTTCACTCCACCTCTCTTCCTCATCATAGATTTCTTGCAGATCTTATTAGTGTGTGATGCGGACCAGGTCTCTACTCTTTTGGATTTATGAACCCTCAGACTTCTCTCCTTTAATCTCTCTCCTCCTCCACTCCCTTCCTGCATCTGTCCATCTATCATTCTCAGGGTTGGCTTGGGCGGAAGAGTATTAATCCCTCCATCCCATCTCTCTCTCTTCTCTGGACAGATGAGGAGGTGGAGGAGGAAGATGGGGAGAGAAGGAGGGGGAGGGGTCGAGGGAAGGAGACCTCAGATTACTTTTCATAACATTTCTGTACCATTGTGTGTGTGTGTGTGTGTGTGTGTGGGGGGGGGAATGAAGAAGTGCTGCAGGTGATGTATGCAGATTTATTCTGTGATAGGTCATGATGTCTTCAACAGGTATGAGAAGGAGCTCAGAATGTTGGAGGGGTGAGTGTGTGTGTGGGGGGATGCTAAACAACTTAGTTTGGTACTGTGTGTGTGTATTGTGGTCACCTTTCTGCATGTTTATCACTTGAGATTTAGTGTGGATATATATGTATATGTTATGAGGTTTATGCAAAGTGTGGGTTTCGTCAAAAGGGCAATAGAATCTGCATCTCATTACCTGTTGATGCCCGCCGAACATGCACACACACTTCAAACACACACACGTGGTATGCTCAGCAGAATTGAGTGGGCTCTGGGAAATCAATTAAACTGATCGGGATATTTAATGTCCCTTTCTTGCAGGCCAAGTTCTGCAAAAAAAAAAAAGAAAAAAAGAAAAAGAAATTTTGTGTTAAGAAAAAAAAAAGAAGCTTCGACCAGCTGTGGATGTAAAGCCGACTCTCTTCTTCCCTTCGGCCCCTCCTCTACCCATGCAAGCCATGCAGTGACAGGTAGATTAAGGGGTGTGATAGATGCCCCCCTCTCTGTGGCTCCCTCCTCTCCACCACCCCCCTTTTCCCTCCCCTCCATCCATCATGGCGGCTGGTGTAATTGCGGCTGCGTGGGGCTGGCAGAGGGAGCTTCCATCCATCTCCTTAACAACAAACAGTCACGAGGACGGATGGCGCTGCTCTCCCCAGTTAATCTCCATCTATAAGGGGGTAGGGTGGGGACCAGGGGTGGGGGGGTGGAGGTGGTGGAGGAGAAGGAGGGGAAGAATGGAAGAGAAGAAAATAACTGAAGGGAATAAAGGTGGTTTTGGCCTTTAAAGACAAAAAATATGGCAAAGCAGAAGGCAGAGGGAACCAGGGAATGGAAATATGGTAAGATGGCAGCGGGGACGTGAAGGAAGATGAATGACACGGGTTCAGGGGACTGAGAGAAACTGGGGGGAAAGTTTGCAAACAGGCTGCAGGAGCAGGTCGATAAGGGCGGATTTGCTTGGCCAGCATGCCAGAAGAAAACCGGAGAGAGATGGAGGAACACGGGCAAGGAGGGAGGGAGGAGGGTAAAAATTTATGTCCACACAGCCAGACAAAAAAGAAACTAGATAGGCATGGCCTCATAAAAATGCACTCTGCACCCACTAACTGCACCCCACTTTTACCTCTCTCTTGTTCCTTTCCTCATCCCCTCATTCGCAAAGCAGGCGGCAAAGGCTTACGGTTGTCTGATGTTTTGGGTGGTTCAGTGTGGTTGCCAGAGGTCATAGCAGCCATATTTTCTTAATGGTGGAGTTACTGAAGTCAACAAGGCTGGGTGGCCTTCTCAAGTCGAGTAAAACTAGAGTTTTGTTGCGAAATGGGGCAGCAGCAACAGCAGCAGTTGCTGGAGGTGGCTGATTTTCACCTTGCAGATGATGAAAAGGATGGACTGGAATTTTAAAAGTGTCAACAGCTGGCAATGTCACATTTGTTTTTGCAGCAGCAGCTGCATTTAGCTGAGAACAGGAAGAGGAAAGTGGGAGGAAATTCTGCTGGGAACTTGATGAGTTTACAGACAAACCCTCTTTCTATTTTTCCTGTGTCACACAAGAAGAACATAAAGACACATGCGCTCTCACATTCAAACAGTTCCACACACAACTCTGCCTGTTGTTTCCTGTTTTCTAGCCCTGGGCATCACCTGCAGTGAGGCCCAGATTAGAAGAGTACCACTGACCTTCGTGTAAACCACTGAACCACTGTAAACCACTGTAAACCACCACTGACCACCTTGACAGTAACCCTCCAGCACGCAAGCAAACAAGCAAGCGAGCACACACATTTACATACACACAAACACGTATATGCATCTCTGGGTCTACTGCAAGCACGTGCACCCAACAGGCCTTGTGCAGTGGAGAGAGCGCCTGAGCCTTGACAGGGAATGACAAATAACTGCAGCAGCCCTGACATGGCGAATGGTCCCACAGTGAACCTGCCTGACTGATTTCCAGCTCTTTGGTGTAGAGAGCGAGCCCGTTCTTTACACAAGGTCCCCAACAACACAAGGCCAACACGTAAAGCTGAATTAACCTGGGAGTCAGACAAGAAGCCAATACTACGTTTTTATCAGCCACCGCGCATGCAGTCGCACTGTCTGCCAAACACGGACTGAATTACTGCACAAGTGATAGCATGTGACCTCATGTTCAGACTGGGTTTTAAATAATTATGCTGAAAATGTACACTCATCCAAACAGCATGTTATAAGAAGAACAAGGTGGGGATCCTCTAAAGGCAGCAAAAGGAAATCTAGTTTATGGCGTACGAGTAAGGCTTTTGTTTTGTTGACACGCATGTATAGAAAAACTTTTGCATAAAGATTAATATTGCTTTAATCTGATCTATGAAAAGTCTTTAATCATGTCATGATTGTCAGGAATGGAAAAACTAACAAAGTAGCGATAGTAAGTCATCTATTTTACATTAAGAAATGATTAAGCACAAACCCACAAAGACTTTTGTGCACATTTGGAAGAGGTTGTGTAAACAACCCAGTGAATCGCACATTTAGTGGGTAGAAAAAATTCAATTAAATCTTATTTATATAGAACGAAATCACAACAACAGTCACTTCAGGGCGCTTTATATTTTAAGGGAAAGACTCCACAATGTTACAGAGAAAACCCCGACAATCAGATGATCCCTTATGCACACTTGGTGACAGTGGGGAGGAAAAACTCCCTTTTAAAAGGAAGAAACCTCCAGCAGAACTAGGTTCAGGGAGGGGCGGCCACCTGCTTTGACCGGTTTGAGGTAAGGGGAGAGACACAGGACAATCTATTCTACATAGTAGAGGTGGTGCAACTTTTGTTGTTGTTTTATCAAGCTGATAAAGCAACAATATAGCA